TGGGTGTGGGGCCCGGGAAACAAGACCAGCCCTGCCCTGGCCTGGGAGCCTGACCCTGGCCAGCCTGTGGCCTGGCTGCACGGCACCTTGTATGCAACAGGGATCCAGTACAAATGAGCGGGAGGAACTGGATGGAACAGGAGTAAATTGAATGCAGCTAGTTAGAAGGTAGCATTCGGGAACTCACTTGAATTAAAATCCTTCCTCTAGTGTTTGTTGGCTAAACCTTGGTTTCCTCAAAGGGTAATCAAGGATTGAATGACATAATAAATGGGAAATACCAGTCACAGAGGAAGCGACCATAGTGGTAGTTATTACTATCAGGGTGGAGCAGAGAGAATAGCTAGCTGGGAAGCCTGGGATTCTAGGGCACTTCCAGCATGAAATGGTTCTGTGACCTCCAGGACCTACCTCACAGCACTGTTGTAAGAATCAAAGGAAAGAGTACAGGTGCAAGCCTCTTGCAAACTGTAAAGTATTTCATAAACCCAAGATGTTTGTATTATGATTTACACGGCGATTATCTGTGTCCTGATGCATTTATACCCTAGTCCACTTGAATGTGCCTTTTGTGTAACTTAACGAGGGGTGGGGAGGTGGTTTCCAAGCTACTTATCTCAAAGCCAGTAATGGTGGTCACCCTGTGTGACTTTGTATAACTGGGAGCTGAGGCCTTTACTGATTGGGTGAACCTGCACGTGAGGGAGGTGAGGATGAGACGATGAGGCTGGTGAGGCTTTCCAAGAGCTCTTGCAGAGTTTGTATGAACACATTCTGATTTGTGCTGCATCTGGGTGGAAGTTCTGAGCATATCACAGATAGACAGAACGCTGAGATCTGGCAGCAGCCTGGGTTGGATGACTGGAGAAAGCTGTTAATCTATCCCATGTCTGCTGGGTATGAGGAGGTACCTTTATACTTCCTGGAGTTCTAGAAGAAGGGACACAGGACCCTCCAGTGACTCCCCTCCAGGTCATGGCATTATGCGAACATAGTTAGCTTCCTTTGTAGGACTGTACCAAGCCTAATTGATTCTATTTTCTCTACCCTATCCCCTTCCTACGGCATCTTTTCCAGCTACTATACGCCCCCTAAAGACAGAGATGGTGTATGATTGTGCACCCATGGCCTAACACACTGCCAGGCACATCTCCCCAATCCCAAGGGTTTATGGAACCTATCTCACTCTAACCTGGAGATCAAGGAGGCTCTCGCAGTTTATAGGTTTCAACAGCTGGGAATGCAGCCCAACTGCTTCCCAAAGACATACAAGAGAAAAGGAGCAGGGGTGGGGTTGGGGGATGGGCAGGTGGGTATATCATTACTCATGTCTAAATCTGATGACTAATTAATTTACAAATGCCAACTCACCACAGACGGTGGCGTTCGGACTCAACTGATTTGAGGAGGGGAGTAAAAGTGCAGACAGGCTGTCGTTCAGGTTATTGAGGAAAACCAGGAAGTGGGGAGGGAGCACAGGGTTGAATTAATTGGGGGACATGTAAATGGTGAGCGCTATCTCCAAGGGCTTCCTGTCTCCAAGGATGTAGGAGACAGTGGGGTACATGAAGGGCCACTGTGAAGCTTACAGAGGGTGGTGCCAGGGCTGTTCAGAGCATCATGGCGGCAGGAGCCCGATCTGGTTTTGAATCTGAACTCTATCTCTAGCCTTTGTGTGACTTTGGGCACGTCACTCTTCAACCCTCGGCTTCACATCTCTAAAATATGGACAATAATATCTGCACAGAGGGTTGCGATAAGGAACAAGTAGATAACAAATGAAAGCATCAGGTGGTTTCTGGCATTTATGACATGTTCAGTCGGTATAAGTTTATTATTATTTCACTGGCTTGTGCAATGCACTCTTCTGAACCTCAGTTTCTTCATATGTAAGAATGGAATACGTGAGAGTGACTGGCACATAGTTGATGCTCAAGGAAGGTTTATTTTTAACTTTATTAACTTTCATTTTGAAACAATTTTAGATTTAAAGTTGCAAAAATATGAGAGAGTTACCCTGTACCTCACACCCAAACTTCCCCTAAAGTTAACATAATACAAAATTATAGTATAATGATTAAAACCAGAGAATTAACATATGCACAATGTGATTCTATTAACTAAGCTGCAGACCTTATTATAATTTCCCCTAATGTCGTTTTCTGTTCCAAGTTCCAAATCAGGATCCTGTGTTCCATTTAGTTGCTGTAACCCTCTTAGTTTTTTCCAATTTGACAGTTCCTCAGCCTTTGTCTTTCATGACCTTGACATTCTTGATGAGTACTGATCAGTTACTTGGAAGAAATATTTCTCAATTTGGATTACTCTGATGTTTTCTCATGATTAAATTGAGGTTATTCACTTTGGACAGAAATACCACAGCAATGGTATACAATTCAGTGGCATTTTGTGCATTCACAATGTTGTAAAACCACCACCTCCCTCTAGTTCTAGAACATTTCCATCACCCCCAAAAGAAGCCCCTTACCCATTAGCAGTCACTCCCTATTCCCATTCCCCAGCCCCTGGCAATCACAAATCTGCTTTCTATCTCTACAGATTTTCCTAGTCTGAACATAGAAATGTAACCATACGATATGTGACCTTTTGTGGTTCTTTCGGGTTTCTTTCATTTAGCATATTTCAAGGTATATCCATGTTGTAGCATGAATCAGTGTTTCATTCCTTTTTATGGCTGAATAATATTCCGTTATGTGGACAGACCACATTTTATTTTATTTTCTCATTCCACAGCGAAACCTGGCACAGGTGAGAGGCTGGGACTGGGAGGTGAGGGAAGGAAGGAGGAGACCCGTGACTGGCAGGAGGTACTGTGAAGTATGGGGAGAATGGCCAGGATTGGCACACTGCAAAGTATAGGACTGTATTTACTTACACCATTGGTTCTCAACCTGTGGGTCGCGACCCCTTTGGGGGTCGAACAACCCTTTCACAGGGGTCGCCTAAGACCATCGGAAAACAAAAAGATATTTACATGACGATTCATAACAGTAGCAAAATTACAGTTATAGAGTAGCAACGAAAAAAATTTTATGGTTGGGGGTCACCACAACATGAGGAACTGTATTAAGGGGTCGCGGCATTAGGAAGGTTGAGAACCGCTGACTTACACGGTGCAGACAGTGCTTATGGAGGGAACTGCCAACTGTCGACTGGGTAGCAGATTGCCTTGAAAGTTTCATTTGTAGAAAAGGAAAAACAGTTGTTCTTGAGGAGGGGGAGATGACCCAAGGATGGGAGAAGTGAAACTCCATCTGGGGCCTGAGAAACTGGTTCTCAGTGGCACCAGCTTTCTAGGGGCAACCTCGGTCTGCCCACCTGGCCACCAGAGGCTGGGGCTCAGATTGTGGTAGTAGCCCGGAGGAGCACGCTCAGGAAGCAGCTAGTGCCCCCAGGGGCACGTGCTAACTGTTTATAGAGAAAGGGGCGTCTCCCTTTTGGCAAATACAACAGTTGCAAACTTCTATGTATACAAAAGGCGTGCTGAGGAGAGCAAACATTTTCATTTCCTCAACGTCTACTCCAGCTGCTCCTTAACTAGCAGGCCCATTTCGTTTTCCCCGAGCGGGTGTGGAGACCGAGCCTCGTGGAGAGGTGATCTACGCAGCCTGCCCTAACCGCTCAGGCCGTCCCCCTACTCCCCGCAGTATTCCCAGCGGGCGGCGGGGAGCTGCGTTGCCTTGGGCGGAGGGCGGAGCCGCAGCGCGCTCCTGCTCCCGCCCCGCAGCCTGGCGCGCGCGCCGTGCGCGTGCCCGGGGCATGAGGCAGCGGTATCAGGGGGCTTGGCGGTGGCCGCGGCCGCGGTGGCATCTCTAGCTCGGGAGACTGCCCCGGGCGTGGGCGGGCGTCCCGGGCCGGCGTCGCGGGAGCGGGCTCTGCGGCAGCGCCGCGCACGGGCCGCCGGCTGAGGGGCCAGCGCCCTGCGCTTGGCGACTCCGGGGCTGGGCATCCCCGCCCGTTGGGTCGGCCCCAGCAGCTGGAAGAGGGCGGGCGGGGCTGGGAGCAGGCCCCGCTAGAAGGGCCGCGCCGACGGGGGCGGCCGCAGCGCCGCGGGCTCCGCAAACTCCCTGCCCGCCTCCCGCGGGGCTGAGCGCAGGGCGGGACCGAGGGGTCCTGCTGGCGGCCTGACGCAGTGGAGGCGCCGCGCTCTGCGCAGCATGAGGGGCCCGCCGCCGTCGTCGCCGCCGCCACCGCCACCGCCGGGAAAGCCGCGTTTACCAGAGCGGCGGGCGGCGTGAGAGTGCTCGGGGCTGGACTCCCCTCCGCCGCCGCGGCGGGCGCTGCAGGCAAGTGTGCACGAGGGTACCCGCCGCGGGCTCGGGCGGCGCCGAGGGCTCGGGTGGCCGCCGCCTTGCGGACCCTCGGCATTCTGGCCGCTCCCTGGTGTCTGGGGTCGGCCTCGAGGTGGGACTGTTGGAAGAGCTGATTAGACATTACCGCGGTTTTGTGAGCATGTGGTGCCTTTGCAAGCGGACCGCTGGGGCCGCCACTTGGGAAATGGATAGAGGTTAGGGTCTTAAGGTGCGTGTACCTGGGTGGGACTAAACACCGGCTTAACTCTGCTCGTCTCGCTGACAGGTACCAGTGACCCCGGCTGGGGAAGGCTCCGAGCGCGCGGCAACATGGCTTCCCCGCCCCACCAGCAGCTGCTGCAGCACCACAGCACCGAGGTGAGTTGTGACTCCAGCGGAGACAGTAACAGCGTGAGGGTCAAAATCAACCCCAAGCAGCTGTCGTCCAACAGCCACCCCAAACACTGCAAGTACAGCATCTCTTCCAGCTGTAGCAGCTCCGGGGACTCAGGGGGTGTCCCCCGGAGAGTAGGCGCCGGAGGTCGCCTGCGCAGGCAGAAGAAGCTGCCCCAGCTGTTCGAGAGGGCCTCCAGCCGTTGGTGGGACCCCAAGTTCGACTCGGTGAACTTGGAGGAGGCTTGCCTGGAGCGCTGCTTCCCGCAGACCCAGCGCCGCTTCCGGTACGCGCTCTTCTACATTGGCTTCGCATGCCTGCTGTGGAGCATCTATTTTGGGGTCCACATGAGATCCAAACTGATTGTCATGGCAGTCCCTGCTCTGTGCTTCCTCGTGGTGTGTGTGGGCTTTTTCCTGTTTACCTTCACCAAGCTGTATGCCCGACATTACGTGTGGACCTCGCTGGTTTTCACCCTACTGGTGTTCGCCCTGACCCTGGCTGCCCAGTTTCAGGTTCTGACGCCTGTCTCAGGACGTGTTGACAGCTCCAATCATACTCCCGCAGCCAAGCCCACAGACACTTGCTTATCTCAAGTGGGGAGCTTTTCCATGTGCATCGAAGTGCTCTTTTTGCTCTACACCGTCATGCACTTACCTTTGTACTTGAGCTTGTTTTTGGGAGTGGCCTATTCTGTTCTTTTTGAGACCTTTGGTTTTCATTTCCGAGATGAAAACTGCTTCCCCTCACCTGGAGCAGGGCCCCCACACTGGGAGCTGCTGAGCCGGGCCCTGCTCCACATCTGCATTCATGCCATTGGGATCCACCTATTCATCATGTCCCAGGTGAGATCCAGGAGCACCTTCCTCAAGGTGGGACAGTCAATTATGCATGGAAAGGATCTGGAAGTGGAAAAAGCCCTGAAAGAGAGGATGATTCATTCTGTGATGCCAAGAATCATAGCTGATGACTTGATGAAACAGGGGGACGAGGAGAGTGAGAATTCTGTGAAAAGGCATGCTACCTCCAGCCCCAAGAACAGGAAGAAAAAGTCTTCCATACAGAAAGCCCCTATAGCATTCCGCCCATTTAAGATGCAGCAGATTGAAGAGGTCAGTATTTTATTTGCAGACATCGTGGGCTTCACCAAGATGAGTGCCAACAAGTCCGCTCATGCCCTGGTGGGTCTCCTCAATGATCTGTTCGGTCGCTTTGACCGACTGTGCGAAGAGACCAAGTGTGAGAAAATCAGCACCCTGGGAGACTGCTACTACTGTGTGGCAGGGTGCCCTGAGCCCCGAGCCGACCATGCCTACTGCTGCATTGAAATGGGCTTGGGCATGATAAGAGCCATCGAGCACTTCTGCCAGGAGAAGAAAGAGATGGTGAACATGCGTGTTGGGGTTCACACGGGGACCGTCTTGTGTGGCATCTTGGGCATGAGGAGGTTTAAATTTGATGTGTGGTCCAATGATGTGAACCTGGCCAATCTCATGGAGCAGCTGGGAGTGGCTGGCAAGGTTCACATTTCCGAGGCCACTGCAAAATATCTAGATGATCGGTACGAAATGGAAGATGGGAGAGTTACTGAACGCCTTGGGCAGAGCGTTGTTGTTGACCAGTTGAAAGGTACGTGCATTTCTTTGCCTTGTCATCTCCCTCCCCAACCCTGTTTGTGTTGAAAAAAAAAAAACAGTCTCTTTTCAGCATCAATATCTGGAGGCAGATCAGTTGTTATCTCCGGACACCTTACCATGGGGGCATCTCAGGGCCAGTGGGACTTTTGCTCCAATGAGTCAGATATTACAGATCTGTTCACACCGTGGCAGTGTTGACCTAGATGAAACCTTTAGAAAGGAGAACTTTGAAAATGCATTTCCTACCAGTCGGCTGTTAATATTTCTGAAATTCTGGGTGCAGTCTGATGAATGTAAGGGGACCGGAGCCCTGCAATCTGAACTTTGAGGCGCTTTAAGAAATTGCCTCTGCATTTCATTTGGTTGCCCTTAAGTCCCATCAAAACGTTTCTTTACGCCTTTTCCCAACAATGTGAAGGATAAAACCTTTCTCCTGTCTGGACCTCCCTTTGCTGGGACAAGGAAGTTGGCTCAGCCCTGTAGGACTCTTGAGAATTAGATGGAATTGTATACCGCTAAGTGTACACTGCCTTTGCCTAGGTCTCTTTTAAAAAGATGTTTGCATTTCAGCTTTCAACTTTATTTAATGATACTTTCTTATCGTGATATTTGACTTACCACATAGACCGCAGCATTTTAAAACATTGAATTTTTCAAGCCACCAGGCGATTTGGAAGTGAGCAATGCACCCAGAGCAGTGTTTCGACTCCCTACCCCCAGTCCCTCAGATTTGTATCTGGTCCCTTGTCTCAGTCTTGAGCTCCTTCTGCTATTCTTGATGTTTCCACTGTGCTGCTTCTTTTATTTTTCTTATTTTTCATGTAGGACAAAAATTTTTGAGATCTGGGAAGTGATGTTTAAGTCAGTGGGTTCAAAAGTAAGGATTCTAAATAACAAACACGTTTTAAAAACTGTCCTTATGTTTTACTAAAATCTTCCAGATTGAGGGGAGCATCTATTTTGGAAGTATGTAGAGCAAATTGCATTGATTTTTAAAAGCCTAAATTTGTAAAGCTATATTTATGGTGCCTACACGTTGCATAATTACACAGTGAAAAGCCTCAGGAAAGGTAACCCTCAGAAGGAGAAGTAACAGCTTAAATCAGAGATGGGAAAAGTAATAGTGTAAATCAGAGGTGGAAAGGGATTGAATTCAAGGGCCTAAATAGGTTGTCAGCTTTAACATAATCCTGTATGCTCAATTGACATTTTCTTTTTCTGCTTCTGATCGGAGTTCTCCATGTCATTTACTTATTGGTTATCTGGTGAGGGTGCTTTATCCTTCTCCTGATTTTTCTTTATTATTGGGTTGTCGGAAAAGTCATGACACATTTTTGCAATGAAAAACAGAAAAAATACGTCATGGCTTTTCTGACAACCCAATATGTTAATGCTAGTAGTTGAAGAATTTATGGATGTAGTAGAAAAATATTTTCACCTGATAATTCCCTCTACCTAGAGAGCTCTAAATGCTACATTGATGAGGTCAGAAACTACACTTTGAGATTCTGTCATGACGAGTGTTGTTCCCTGTAGGAGGGTGGCCCCTGCTCTCGAACCTGAAGGTGCCAGTGGAGTGGAGTGTGGATGTAATTCCTGCTAGAGATTTTGGCATTTTGAGGATCTGAGTGTTGCAGGCTCTGTCCTCAGGGATAGTGGGTCAGATTCCAGAAAATGGAGCTGTGATATACTATGTTAAATTAAGTATGACAATGATAGCAATTCTGTAAGTAGTACTTTGAACAGGGTATTACTTGAATTTCAAAAATAAAAACATGTAATCCTTAAGTATGTCTGGAAATCTCCAAGTCTTTGATCTTTTGGCAATATTCATTTTTGTTAATTTATAGGTAATTTTATTTTGAATTTTTTGCTGAAAGGTCTAAAGACACAGAAATGCTAGAGTGGATTTGTTGATTTTTTTTTTTTTTACCTCAAATAGTGGAAATTTGGTAAACTCACTTTTTCTTTAAATTTTGTACACTGTATATTTATAAGGAAAAGTTTTTGTATTGGATGGGAAGTAAGGAAGGAGAGAAGGCTTAGCTGAAATGGTGATTTTTAAAAATATGGTATTTTCTTTTTTAACTGTTTACCTGAGACCGTGATTTTTGCTTTATTCAGTTCATTTTGAAAACCTTTGTGGACAGGAGTCCACTAATAGAGAATATCTACACAACTTCTGACCCTTTCTGAAATTGCACAGTTCACTTCTCCAGACATTTGCACAAATCTGCTCAATTGAGATGATCATATAGTTTGTAGAAGACACTTTTCATGTATGGGGTTAAGGTATATATGTAAGATTTCTTTTAGCCTTTGCTTGAGGCAGATATTTTCTTTGTACAGCATTGGGCATTAGCCTTTACCTTTAATTCCCTTTTCTGATAACAGAGTAAAAAATACCCATTAAAGGACTCTAGAAATGAACATTGGTAAACTGGGGAATTCCAGAACTAGCCTGGCAGCGTGAAAGGAGGCTCTTCCTCTGTAATTTATCTGAACAGGCTTTGTGGAAGGGAGGACTTTTATTATTTCTGCATGTGCACTCACTCTTTGAAAATCTTTATTGTGCTCTTACGACGTGCGTGGAACTGAGCATACACAGATGGTGTCATGACAGTTCCTGATCTCGGTGAGCTCACAGGTATGAATGTGGTAGAGTATGTAGAGTCAGGAACACTTTCAAGAGGTGCCTGTACTTAAGGTGATTTTGAAATTGAGCAGTGGTTCTCCAGGTAGACGGAAGAACATTCAGTGCAATGGGAATAGTTTGGGCAAGGGCTTAGAGCTTGTTTCTTGGTGGATTGGCAACTAGGTCAAGGAAGGCTGTGGGTCACACAGGATGGAGTTTGGATTCAATCCTGTAGGAAATGGGGAGCCACTGATAGGCTTTATGCAGGTGACCTGCATAAAATTTGCAAAAGCCAGCTAAAGTTTTCAATTTTAGAAAGCTTACTCTTTCAGTTCTAGGAACTGTGGGTTGGAAGGATATGAGCCTGGAGATTCATGAGCTGTTTCAGTAAGATCCCAGGCAGGATTGATAGCAACCTGAACCAAGGTAACAACAGTGGCGATGGAAATGATGGGACAAATATGAGAGTAGTAAGGTCAACCTGATTGGACTTAGAACCAGATTTAAACATTTGGCTGGGGGAGGTGAGGGGCTTGATGGTTTGAAGGGAAGATGGCATTCCAAATTTCTGGAATGGACCTGGGGACAGTTTGGAGTCAGGAACGGGTGAGAGGCCTTTGAAGTTTCTATCGTATGGATGGAGAATGCAGGATTGTGTTGCAGAGTATGACATAGGCCAGGAACCCTTGGCTTGTTCATTCATTCATTCAACAAATAAATTATTTTGTGCTGGGCACAGTTCTAGGTGCTGAGGAAATAGCAAGGAAACAAAACAGACAAAAATTCCTGCCTTTATGGTGTTTCCATTCCAATACAGCAGTCAGACAGTAAACAAATAAATAAAATATAAAGTTTGTTTTGTGTTAAGTTCTAAAGAGAAAGCATAAAGCAGGAAGAAGGATATGGAATGTGTGTGTGTGAAATTTTAGATAGGGTAGCCAATCACTGAGAAAGAAGGTTAAAAGAATTTTCAGCATAGGACTAGGATTTTGGAAATGATTCAAAAAGTGGGGAGCAATTATTATTAAATATAGGGAGAAATAGTCTGACTTGAGTGATGGGAAGAAGGTTCTTTTCACATCACTGGGACCAAGAGGGTGCTGGCTGTTCTGTTCTGCCTTGGGCCACAAGCAAAAAAGCGAGACATTGTCTAGAACTGTTGGTTTTTCCTATCATAGGTAAACAGTCTCAAAGACAGAAGGTGAAACTATCAGAGAATGTCTGCAGACATCTTATTTTTCTCCCTTAAATATTAAGGAAGATAAAACAAAGGTGCTTAGTTATTCCAGATTCACCCCCACAATCATGTCTTTATAGAAGGGAATACCCAATAACTAGCACATTCATACTTCCAGAAATAAAACAAGACTTTTCCCCCAAAGCCAAGCTTTTAGGCTCGTGGAGCAACTGGGGTTAAGATCCTCTGATGTGCCCTGGAACAGCTCGTCACCCACTGGCTACCTCAGACGGAGACTTTCACCATGTGTAATAGGTGGCACTTAGAAGAGTTCCTGTCTGGCCCCCCGTCTGGGGCCACTCCTCAAAGTGACGGTGCTGAGGACTCTGTGCTTTAGCCTTTGCCCATAGCTGTCCCAATCTGGAAGTCTGGGCTCTCTAGCTCCCTGCCAGCTAGGAGCCTTGGCCAAGGACCAGTTTTGGGTGCAGTTTGTTTGCTCAGGTGCACCCCTTGCTTCACCTGATGGCTTGGATAGCTTATCCCCACCTAAGCATGTAACCCTTTTCACTGTAGTCCTAGCCTGAAATAGACAGCTCCGTTCCCCTCTTAAGTCATGTTGAAGAGAACTTTCATGCTCACCTGTGTTCTTGAGCGGGCTCTCTTGTGCACATGGAAACACAGCTTCTTGGGCAAGTGGCAAAGATAAGATGAAGCAGAAAATCTGACATGACAACTGGAATGGGAGATGACAAACAGCTGTGGAGTCATGCTTGGGTAGCCCCTGATGACAATTTATTCAGGCTCCTTCAGACCAAATTACTATATGGCTTCTAGCAAGGAGCACACAGCTGTTAATTCTGAGGACCAGCCTTTGAGTAGACCTAGCCTTTGGCAAGGGATGTTAAAGATAAGGTTTTCTGAACTGCAGGTGGAATTAAGAAGGGTAGTCTTTGTAGGTAGAATCACTAAGAAAGGGAGAAATTAAAAAGAAGCAAATAGAGGGCCGGCCGAGTGGCGCGTTGGTTAAGAGCTGGCTTGGGACGCCAGAGGGCCCCGGTTCGGATCCCACATATGAGGGCCAGTGACACTGTCCTCCACAGCTAAGATGCTGAACAACAGCCCAACCTGGAGATGGGCTGCCATGAGTCTCCGGTGATGGCAGGTGGGTTGCCATGGGCTA